ATAGGAAAACTTTCCGGATGCAATGCTATTACACTTGAATGTATCATAAAATATGATCGATATAACGCCAATCATATTTATTATAGAGAAAGGAATATTTTCATCTTAAATGAAAAATTCTAAAATCTAGAACAAAATAACAGTATGTATCGTCTTTTGTCTAGTATCGTGGTGTCGGCTTCGTGCGTTGTAAGATGGAGGGAAAATTTATTCTAAACGCAAGAATATATAAACTTACATTTATATAAGTTACTCTTGTCTCGATACAGTACTAGTAAGTCAATCTTTTTTAATTCGATAGACGGGAATAAGAATATGTTATTTTGATATTGTCTAACTTTTATGCTAAATGAGGTTCGATAAATGTAAATATGTAAGTGGAAAGTTGATCGACTAAGTATTCGCACTCTCTAAAACTCAATCAGTGGATTGTCACTGCAAGCAGTAAATAGTCACTGATTTGCATGCGAACTGCAGTTATAGGTATATACGGAGAGAAATTTCTCTTAATATTTACCCTGAAAATCGTGTAATCGTGGGACAATATGGCATTTTGAAGAACTTTATGAGGGTCTTTTGAAATTTTATCATACATTTTACTAGTAACTATACTTAGTATACATCTTATTGGTAAAATGTGTGGTAAAATTTCAGAAAACTCATAAAATTCTTCGAAATGCGTTGTCCCATGATTACACGATTTTCAGGATGAATCTTAAGAGAAAATGCTCTCTAAATACCATTGAAAATCGCAGTGGATATACTTATAAATGTGAATCAGTGACTGTTCACTGTTTTCGATGATAATTCACCGGCTGATTTTTAGAGGGCATGGTTTCTCAATCGATTTTCGACTTTTCTGCGAGAGCAGAACTTTCGCATACCTTTCTATTTCGAATGAATTCGAGAATCGAGCCCCTGAACTGTTAGAAAATTTCGAATGCAGGTGGTTCGAACACCAATCGTACAGTTCGACTGATCTCTTTCGCAAGGTCGTATCTCGATTTTATGCAACTTCTGGTTTTTGTGCTTAAGCGCTCGTTATGGTCCAAAAAAACAAAGACCAGAGATTGCGTAAACTCGAGACACGACCTCGCGAAAGAGTTGAATTGTCAGTCTTATAAAATCGTAACGATTCGATTCGGTCTAATTCGATCTGCTTCGTTTCGGGCTGGTAAGAGTGAATGAAATTCGACTCGATTCGATTCGACATAAAAAAAAACCTTCTCACATCTCTACATTGTATCTGCGTCTCGCTGACTCACATTAATCAAAATTCAGATTATCACCGCTGTTTTACGGCACGCATTTACCTCCCATCGTACCGGCAACGTATCGGAAAATATAAAACGCGCGGAAGCTCGCGGCACTCAATTTAACGTTAATGTCATTTCCCGTTCGTTTCGTCGCTGCATTTTCGCGCCCGCGTCCCGCCGGGAGAGAAAGAGAGAGAGAGAGAGCGAGGCGCGTTTTATCAAACGATAGGTCAGCCGGTGGAAATTTATAGTAATAATTTCCGGCGTCGGCGCGAAAGTTGTTAAGCTCGATGAACAATGAACGGCGGGGACGGCGCGGTTTGAGGATCTTATTGGAAAAGTTCATAAACTGATTAAGAGGCTCTTTGAAGTTTATCCCAAAGTGGCATTTATAACGGAGATGCTAAATCGCGCGCCGTCGGGTGTGATAACGGCGTACGCGAGTTTATCGGGCGACGGGGAGATACTTATATCTCCCGAAAACGCATCTCTTTCGGCTTCACGTGAGACAGGTCCGTGCATTCAGAATCGATAACTTTTTAATCTCCTTGCGTCACGCCTCTCCGCAAAGCGAGGTGCTCTCCCGCGCGAGCGTTACTACGTCACTCTCGCCCTCGGGGAGGCGCAACGTTTATTTTGCCCGTGGACGGGGAAATAAAAACAGTCGCGCTCTCGTCAAGAAGTGGCCGAGTCGGCCGCCGACATGATAGCGGGGCGGTACACCGACGTTACCCGTCGCCGACGACGATAAGTAACACCGTAGCGTTAATAGAGGCAAGTCTCCCCTATTATGAGATAGCCTTCTAATACGAGACAGCAGGTTTTCAGCACCCAAATTCAATCCCAGATTCTTTTCCGCAACGATTACACGATCCAACAATGAATTGTCCACTAAACAGTTTCCGCTCCGAGGGCAATAAATTCATGGTGGAGCCGACTAATGGCGCCTATTAATTTAACAGAAACCCACTGTCCCGTATCAGGATCCTGTCTCATAATAGGAGACTTCACTGCAAAGGGCGATGCAGCGCCTCTGATAAAACTGCAAGGAAGACTCGCGCGAGGGAAAGAGTTACGTATCGGTCACCGCGGCTCATTTGGCTCCGCAATTTATAGTTACATTCGACGTTAGAAAAGCCCGGCGATGGCGTTTCCGCTGGAGCCCCCGAGGGATCGTGTGGCGTTGCTTCTATCTCGGCGTGGAAACAGGCGTGTTTATCAATTGATTGATTTGTCGGCTCGCGCTCGGGCGAATTGTTGAAACTGGAGGGGGGAAAAAAGGGAGAGAGGATGCGAAGGAAATTTACGCGCAACATGCGCCCCGAAATCCCGCGATGCACCGTGCGGCGATGACAATGGTTGTTGCACCCGGCCGGCGATAAATAGCGCCCGTGTCGTGACAGAGCGCCGGAGATGTTATTAACGACAATCGATCTAATATTAATCTCGCCCACGTTTCCACGGCGCGGCCCGCGGGGAAAAACGGAGGAGAGCATACGTCTGGTCGCGCGACCTCGCAGGGGACAGTGCTCCGACCGCGTGTCGATTGGCCGGCCACCGGCGGCACCAACGGAAAATGTACCGCTACAGGGTGGCGCACGTTAAACCGACCCCAATTTTCGGGGGAAAGATTAAAGGGTTAAACGAATGTGAGACAATAATTGTCTACATCCTCTAACCCTTTGAAGCACGGCGGTAACCCACGTTACCACCTCGACTCTTTCTTTACTTTTCGGCCATTTAATTTCTAGTTTACGCATTTCGGCCGGGTTTTTTGCACTTTTTGGATACCTTAGCAATGAAAGAATATTTTTAAAAAAGTTGAGTAGTCTTTACTATTTATTGTAAAGGTTTTATAAATAGGCAAATATGAGGAAACAGCAATTTTTTCGGAAAAATTCATTATTGACCAAGTTTTTTAAGATTATTTCTTGAAAACTCTGTACAAAGGGGTTTTCGGGGTCGCTCCTTACGAATCTGATGTCAGATTTTTAAAATTCAAAATGGCCGATCCCAAACGGCGGATGCAAAGTACGTGAGTTTTTAAGTTTTCAAGTTTTTCAGCAGTTTCGTTTGATTGCGGTATTTAGGGATTCATCATGTCCGCGTGCTCTAGGTAATGCCAAGAATGAGTAAATTCTAAGAAATTATCAAATTTCAATTTTGCGCGCGCTATTTTGTATATTCTATAAGAATTTTTAACTGGAATTTAGATTCCATGGGTCCTAATTATATCTAAATAATGTTTTTTAGCATATAGTTGAATTACAATTGAATGATGTTATTTCTTAAAGTTTTGAATTCCGCCGTTTTGAATTATGAATAATCTGATAAACGGATTCGCAATCAGCGAGCCCGAAAGCCCTTGTATACAAAGTTTCACAGAAAATGGTTCAATAGAAAAATGTATGCTTCAAAGGGTTAATATGATACAATATCTATAAATTGTATTTTGTAGAATTATTAAGAATAGAATAAATCTTAAGGTATAATTCATTACAAAAATTAATAATTAAGTAAATAATATATACTTACTTAATTTTTATACTGAACTGTCTTAAAGTTGATCTTATTCTTGATATAATCGTATAATTTTCGATGATTATAAATTTCGAGATACATTTATTACAAGAATTATAATTCATATTGCGTGTATACATACACACACTGTGTGCAAAAATCGTAGACACAGGAAGTGAATACGTGGATACCGCGCTGTTTCATCTCTTTTAAAATCCTGTAATTTTTTCCCCCGCGGTATCATTCTTCTTCCGCGCGAGAATGACAAATATTTAACTTTCAATGCTATTTTTGTAATTATTTCTAAATTCCGAATACCTGCCGACTTTTGCACAGTGCACGCACACCCGCGCAAATGCGCCAAGAATTTCCTGCTGCTCCCTTAACCGAGGCGGGACCGGCTGAATTGCGAACGGGAGCGAGAGAAAGATACGTACCGTCATCGATAGCGAGAGAGTCTATAGGGAGGACAGGCGGCGAGAACGAGATAAATCGGCAAAGAGAGAGAGGAGAATGGCGAAGGATGCGCGCACTCTCTCTCTCCCCCTCCTCTCCCTTTCTCTGCGCGAGCGCGGCTCGCCGCGCGTTGAAAAGAGACGGGTGGATCGAAGGGCGCGCTGAAGAGGAACCTACGTTGGGGTCGGTGAGATAGAGTCCGCGCCCGTGACGGAGAAGGACAAAATCACGTGTGCGCGTTCGTCGAAGGGAAACAGACCGACGCGGATCAGCGCGACAGCTGAGACCCCGCGTGCGGACGCGAGAGAGAGGGCGAGCACAAGTGCGTTCGTATTCCGTTTCAACGGCGAGAGATGAAAAGGGACGCGGCGCTACGCGGCGGCGATTAGTGCAAGAGAAAAAGACAGCGAGCGAGAGAGGGAGAGAAAGAGAGAGAGAGAGCAGCTTTTGCTGTCAGCGTGGCAATCCGCGAAGTGGAGCGAGATGGCGAGCGGCGGCGCGGGGGCGAGACGGAGACGACAATAGTCGCGAGTGTGTAGAAGCGCGGGGCGCGGAGTGGGGGGGACGGGTGACGGTGGTGGGGGGAGCGTGACGAGGGGGCGGGGAGGCCGCCGGGCGCCATACTGCCGTCGTCCGTTCGTTCCGTACAGTACGCGCCCAGCGGTTAAGGCGGTTTCGTCGCGGTGTCGCCGTCGCCGCCGTCGTCGTGCGGTCGTCGTTCCCTGCGTCTCTCGTCGGCGGTGCCCTCCCCCCGTCCCCCCCCTCCCGGCCCCGTCCGTACATACGTTTTCTTCGCCCCGTCCCTCCGTCGCTCTCTCTTCGCCGGCCGCGCAGCGCCGACGCGACGTCGCGCGCTCCGGAGCGTCTCGCCGTCTCTCGCCCGGCATTTTTTTGCCTCCCGTCCTTTAACTACTCCGGCGCGTCTCCGCACGAGGATATATACACACACACACGAGGGAGTGCGGAGGAGTCGCCGCCGGTGTCGCAAGCTCTTTCTTTATTCGCCGAGGAGTCGGCTCGCGGTCCGCCATCGTCGCCGTCGTCGTCGCCGCCGTCCCTGGCGGAACACCTGCGCACCGATACGAGGTGAGTGCCGATACACCTGACGGCGATACACACGCCGGGCGCGGGGAGCGGAGCGCGGCGGAGACCGCGTTAAGGTTAGGCGAGAGAGCCGGTCGCGGATCGGATTTCGCGCGACGCGTCGCGCCGCGTATATCCTCGCGCGGAAACGTGCGCCGGGCGTCGCGCCGCGTCCCTGCCCGACGGGAGACGAGCGCGTCGCTCTTACTTTCGTTTCCGCCGACGCGCTCCAAGTTCTGTTGCTCGAGCGGGGGCGGGCGGTGGGCGGCGGGGAGTGCGACTCCGCAGATCCGCTCCCGCCGCGAGCAACAAAGAGACTTACCAGCGACGCTTAGCGGTCCGCTGTTAGCCGGAGCGAGTCAGGGACTCGCGGATAGGTGGATAGAAGCCGGGAATACTCCGTGACGTTCGTTACGTTCGGGCGAAGAACCGCGAGTCGAATCGCTGCCGAAAGCAGGGCGGTAGAATCCGCGCTCTCGATATTCCTCGACACTCGGATCCCCCGAAACGACGCCGGTCTGCGATCACCTGATCGGCCTCCCCCCCCCTCCCCCCATCGGCCGTCGCGATTGATCCATCGCGGATCACTCGTCGCCCCGTGTTTGCGGTGAAAACGCGACCCGCGGCAAAGAGTGCGCCGTGTTATTTTCGGGACGGGGGAGGAATCGGATATAACGGCGGACGGAAATGTAACCGTAGACCGTTCGCGCCCGCACGACGGGGCGCTCCTTGGGGTTGCAGATGTTTTCCCCCCGCCCAAGTTTGCGCTTTGTCGAGGCTAATTTCGTCGACGGTGAATCTCGCGCGATCGAACGCGCGCGGGAGGACGAAGGGATCGCGGGGTGGCGGGTGGGATTTCGCGGAACGGCTCGGAGGGCAGAAAGTGAGAGCTGAGTCGGCGAGGCGAGTCGTCGTATTAGATTCACCTCCCGCCCGCGCGACTCGGGGGGGAGAATCACGGTGTTGCGGGAGGAGAGTGAGATGTTCTCCTCGCGCGAAGCAGATCGAGGGGAACTTCTTGCGTCGGAAGTTCACGCACAAGTTTCGCCATCGCGAAGCTCCTTTTTCTTTCCTCTCCCGCGGAAATTAAAAGCCGCGAGGGGGGGGGGGAAGGGGGAGCGAGAGGAGGCCGGTTATGGTTGACGCTGTTAACGAGTTTCTTCCCCGTCGAATTAATTCGAGCCGGCTGATTTAATTCGAACTCGGCGGTGCGTCGCCCGCGAATATACTTGTTTAAAAAAAGGAGGGCGGGAAGACGGGAGCAGAATCCGCGTTTGTTTTCGCGCGCGTTACTCGATGAATATGAAAACTACGGGATTAAACGCGGTGGACCGCCGCTAGCGCGAGCGAATTCCCGTTAGCATTAATAGCTGTTTAATTATTAAAACTTGGTAGTATCGTATATCCATTAGGGAAATATATGCGTGCATGCGCCCCCGGATGTCTCCCCCGTAATTTACAGCCGACGAATTATCCGCGATAAAAATGTCGGCGTGGATTATTTATCGTGGCCCTTCGTAAATTCGTGACGAGGTTCCTCGGAATTAACGTTCCGTTGAAGCCGGAGATTCGTCGACGACGGTTCCCGAGATTGCTTGCCAAGTGGCGAGCGTGGATCTCGTTGCTATTCACCGAGGACGGCCGTCCTGTCAAAAGGCATCTCTCTCTCTCCCTCTCTGCCTCTCTGTTTGTAGAGGGCCAGGTCTTTACATTTATGCCTCATCGATGATGCATAGCTGCAGACTTCGTTCCCGGCGCGTTTAGGGGCCAGGCGACACACGAGAGTCGGTCGCCCGTCTTACATTACGACGACGTTTCCTCTCGCGCCCGCGGCATAAATTTCGAGTTCTGGCTGCATTATGCATGCCGCGCGATGCACGAAATATTACCATAAGCGGTGGCGCGCACCGCCGTCGCCGCGCGTGCAAAGACGGATCGTTTTTCCGCGCCGCGCTGCGCCGGGGCGTTGCAGCGGGCGGACGTGTACATTTTTAATCGCGGCCGAAAATTGTGTCGCTCCGCCGCGCCGCGCCGGGAGCTCAGGCTTGCGCGTTCCGAGCGCAAACCCGCGTCCGACCGTGCGGCGGAATTCGTAAACTAGACAAAGTTATCGCGGGGGAGCGTCGGCACGTTGCAGCCGCGGATGGCGCATTTCTCTCTGCGGTTCGAAAGTTTAACCGGGCTCTGCGAGACATTTTATCGTCCGGACTTGGTCCCGGCGCCGGGTTTACCTGCGTGTATCTTCGGTGGATCCCTCGGATTCCACGCGTACCCAGAATCTCCCGAGAGGAAAAAGAAATGCTGCGAACAAGGACTAGGTCATTTCGAGGAAGTCAGTTGTGACGGAGAGAGATAGAGAGAGAAAGGGACGACGTCGCCTAGACTCGTTCGGGCGGCCGCTGCTGATGCGAATACGTTCCGCTTCTTTCATCGCTCCTGGCCCCGAACGATGAAATCCTACCCTTTGTTCGGTCGAAGAAAGAAATCCGCCGTCGAACTTTTCTCGGCGCGCGCGGAGACCCGCGTAACCCGCGACGCGACAAAGAAATCCGTATACCCTCCCCCGACGTGCTTCCATTGTTCCCCGATGTCCCGCGATCTCCCGATAATCAATTTTTATCGTTCGGCAAAACGTTCCGCGGAACATGCATCGCTGTCGATCACAGCAGCGTCGAGCCCCGCGGGATCCAATCGCGGATTCTCCTCCTGACGCGATCCGCGATGGCGGGCGAGCTTAAAAAATTGCCGGAAGAGAGTTACGAGCTGTATATAGTTAATGCGGGGGGGGGGGGAAATACCGCGACAGATTGCCGTTTTATTAATTCAAAGACTGTTGGAAATTAACGTGGAAAATTAACGGTCGACCGTTGGCACAAATTTATGCGTCGCGCACGAGCCGGGGCGATGTCGTGTAATTTGGCCGACCCACATGAGACGACGTCGTCATCGATGTTTAGCTTCTTCACAGAGCCATCGGGAGATTCGCTCGAATGCCGAAGCCCTGGCTCGGCTCCTCCTACGCTCCGCTCGCTGTGAACGCGATCCCTGATCTGTTCCCTCACCGTTCACTTGAATTCCTAGGTAAGGTAAAGGGATATCTCTCTCTCGCTCTCTGTATCTATTGTTTCCAGCGTAATCGTTCCTTGAATCATCGCGTTGACTTATCGATTATCTCGTCGACGGATTCTCGCGGCTTCCACGCCGCTGCTTACATCGGCGAGGAAATCTCGCCGGGATCTTCCAGGTTTGCTCGGGGAAAATATCCCGAGGGGTACTTACGGAAATTTAACCGCTCGGCGAATTAATCGCGCTCCGCGGCCTCGCGTGCCCCGTGCCTCTCGCGCGCGAGTCCGCCTCGTTAATTTCGATTTAGCCGGCACGATTTTTCGCCTTCCACGGAAAAGGCCCCTCCGGGCAATATTCTTATCTCTCGCGCAATTAACATTAATGAAAAGCCATCGACGTGCAGCCCCAGCTCTCTCACGCTCGTTCATTAAGACTCATTAGAGGCATACTGACCTCAGCCGAGCCCCCATGAGTTACATGGCGCGGATCCTCCTCGCACACGCTCCTTCCAGCGTAATATGTCATGTCAGATTGGAGGTCCGATCTAGGAGAAGACGTCTCTGATCGCGCCCGTGGTTAACATATGTTCGTAGCGACGTGCCGCGACGATTGCCCGTCGTTCGACGAGTTGAACGCGTCCACGGCAATCGATCTTATGCCCGATCCTTCTCGAACGACCAAGCAGCGTCGCTTGCTCTCTAAAAGTCTATCAGTGGTTTATCATTGAAAACAGTTATACACGGTGGAAAAATTTGTGTTAAATTTAACAGATGTCACATGTCCCAAACGGTCCACGCAAATTTTTCTATTAATTTAACATAATATGGATATGTTAAATGATCACGCTAATACACTGTTAATATTTTAACACAAAATAATTGCGAATCTCAAAATAATATGAAATAAATTTTGTGTGAAATTAGCACTTTTTTAATGACAAAATGAATTTTTTTAAATGTAACTTTTACATTTTACAGACGTAATAAGTCAAATGACGGTTCGAAATCACTCTCACTTATGTTATACTCGTATAGAATAAAATCAACATTTTATTCTGTAAATTTTAACAGATAAATCTTGTTACTAATAATATAGAATATACGTATTGTGAGATTAAGAAATAAGTACACATTGTGTTGTTTTAACATTTCTATATTTTTTATTCATTATATTTATTTATTCATTAGTCACTTATTATGACTCGTTACGTTTCAAAATCCCGACTAAATTTAAGATATGTATTTGTCAATCAACATTATTTATATATTTAATTATTTATGTAACTATTTAATGTATATTTGTAGTATATTTGAAGCTATAGTATATGCGCTGATGAAAGCTGATGTGTACCGAAACGCGTACGCAATTCTGGAGTCCAAATGTTAGCATATACTCTTCAAGTAAAATAATTTTAATACCTTGTTAAATGAAGAGCTTGTTAAACTTGGCCTTAATCATATGTCGTTATTTTAACATTTCTTTTCAGTATTTCAATAATTTTACATTTGAGGTCAATTAACACAAGAGCAATATGTTAAATCAACACATAAATGTGTTAAACATTTAACACAGAAATTTTAACCGGCATTTTTTTTAGCAAGAAAACACAAATTTTCCAAAATTTCATAAGTTTTATCGACCTACACTGGCTATAGCGATTTTTGTTGACCGTATCAAGCTATTAAAATTATTATTGCGAAAAATATTACCCCAGCCAGGATTCGAACCTGGGACACCTCCCTACAATCCGTGACGGGCGTCTTAGCCAGCTCGACCACCGGGGCTGTATTTTCCAACAAATTTTCCAACTGTGTAAATATATCACTGATACAAGTCAGCGGTACACTTACAACTGTGAATCGGTGAGCATTCACTGTTTCCAGAGAGTTTTTAGAGAGTGAGAAAAGATCTGTTCGTTTAACAGTTACACGGAGAGA